CAGGCCCAATATATGTCTGCCCGAGTATCTAAAAAACTGAACAGACAGACTACGAATAAAAAACAGGGACAAGGAAAATAATAATGTCATTTGAACTTAAAAACTTGACCTAATTTGTTGATTTAATGATGTATCTTCAGTAAACAAGGTTGAACTGCCAACAAAGTTCCACACTCTATGCATCGAATACAAATCTTTTGATTGGATCGTGTTCTAGATCTTCGTTTGTGATCAATTTGACACTGTTTTGTGTATTGAAAAAATATTTTCTTAATGAGATAAAAGCTGACCATATCATGTGCAACTCCTATGAGGTGCCTACAATCCGTAAATTTACACATAAATCCATACCTAAAACACTTGCAATTCATGTGCTTCAATTTATAACGAAAAATTAAACGATAGCCTAGACAAGTCTATATAATTATTAATTCATAATATTGAGGGTACAAATTGATATTTTTAATGTTTGAGGGTACAAATTAAGAATCAAAACATCTTCCAAAATATAAATTGCAATTAACCCTTTTGTTTAACATGATTACAAAAGGGTTAATGGAGAGAAAATGAGAGCAGAAAGTTTATGGGTATAACATGAAATCACTACAAAAAGTCACAAAAAAAGGACAAAACAACGTTTTTTCAGCCCTAAGAATTTGTCTGAAATCTGCCCTTGGTCATCGCAGGAGATCATTTCGTTGTTGACTGTACATGGTAGTTTAGAAACTCATACATGTGGGAGTGGCTTCGAAAGAGTACCGGCCTGATTCGCCTCGATATCAATCTCATCTTCAATCTGCATAAATGAGCCTTCTGAGATAAAAATTATTGAATAATGCTACATTAATCAAATAGAGATTGAATGATGTAGCACTGTAACAAGGATGTTTTTGGTCCTATTTTTGTTGTTCATTTAAAATTTGCAAATACACAAAGAACAATGCAAAGTAACAGAGGGGATCATACCGATGGAGGTGGATCTGGCTGCTCTGCCGGGTCGGGTCGGAATGACCAATTTTTTATGACGAGAATGACATTGGTTACTCCATTGCAGACCCAATAATATCCACGCTTAATTATATTTTGTGCAAGTAATATTAACAAAACAGCCAATACAAAGAAAATGAATTGTCTTGGGAAGAAAACCGATGCCAATGAGACCGAAGAAAAAATTCCAGAGAAGAGAACAAAATGGTCAAAGAGTCTGAAGTATTGTTCAATGAGAGTTTGCATTTGACTCACTATTCCAATCGCGAGGCAGTAAAAGCATTTGGCTACACCGAAACACCACATGTTTATAGTGTAAGCTTCAAATGGATCCTCACCGTTGGCTTGACACTTGATGGCGACGAGGGCAAGTAGCAATGGCACCAGATATTTGAACACCTCGTGGCTTGGAGGAAACCATTTCAACTCTTCCTTGTTTCCACTGTGATAAGAATGAAAAAAATATTTAATTGCAGTACAGGCTTAACCATATATAGTAGATCAACGTTTTGTTCACCCTTGAGTATATTTCCGATTACCACCTAAAAAAAAAAACCCAATAATTAATATTTAATATTTTCATATTAATATTTAATATTATCCAATTAATATTTAATTTTATCAATTTAGCACTAAATTAACTAGAGGTGTCAATCGTATCATATCGTGTGACCCACGTGTCGTGTATTGTTGTGTCGTATTGTGTTTGTGTCAAGACCTTAAAAAAAATATTTAGTGTGTTCTAAGTATTAAATATTAGTCTAAGTTATTTATTATACATATTTAATAATCGTGTCAATTTTTTAATCATGCGTATCGGGTTAATATCAACGAGTCAGAGTTGACACCCCTAAATTTAACCTTAACTTTTATCAAATAAGCATTAAATGTTGTAAAATTAACATTCACATTAATAAAATTAGAATTTAATTAATTCAATTAACATCCAATTTTATTAAATTTATACCAAATTAATATTCAATTTCATAACATTAACACTAAATTAACATTTAATTTTATTATTTTTTAAAATTTTTTTTTAGGTGCGGTGATGGGGAAGGGAGGGGGGGAAGAACTTAAACCCTTGACCTCAAAATGACAAAACCTTCACAAAATAAGGAATACAATTAGACCAAAGGTCTGTGGGTTTCAATTTTTATTAAACTCACATTAAACTTACATCAAATTATTATCAAATTAATATTCAATTTAATCAAATTAACACTAAATTAACTACCAATTTAATATTCAATTTTAACAAATTTTATTAAATCAAATTATCGAATTAATATGAAATTCCAGTTTTATACACTAAATTTCAACAAATTAATATCAAATTAATGTAAAATAGATCTTAAATTTCATCAAATTACTATTTTATTTCATCAAATTAACATTCAATCTTATTAAATCGATATTCAATTTTATCAAACTAATACTAAATTAATATTTAATTTTATCATATTTATGTTTGATGTCATCAATTTAGCATTCAATTTATCAAATTAATCATCATTTTTGAAATTTAATCATGAATTAACCTTCAATTTCAATCAATCAATTCTAAATTGATATTCAATTTTATAATATTAACATTTAATTTCTTGAGTTGAACATTTAATTTTACTAAATTAATATTATTTTTTAATTTAATATCAAATTAACTTTCAATTTTATCCAATTAACTTTTAATTTTATGAATTTTACATAGAATTTTATTAAAGTAATATTATTTTTAAAAATTAACATTCAATTTCTTCAAATTGACATCTTTAATAATCAAATTAACGAGATGCCATAAATTTGGTTTTGCTTGCTCTATAGAGTCAAGGATAAATTTGGTAATTCACAAGAGAATAAAGATCACATCACATAGCATAAAGTTAGTCTTGCTTGATAAATTTGTTATTTCACAAGAGAATAAGGATCACATCACACAGCATAGATGAGATAATTTGTGATAAATGTAAATAAATTATGGGAATTTACAAAGATATTTCGAGAATTAAAAGATCTATATAATAAAGAAGTTTATAATTCAAATCTCAAAAATAAACAAAATGACTTTTGTTATTCGCGATTGAAATCACTTTAAATTTTACTCTAAAATTAATTTAATGGTTAATATTAACACTTTAAATTTAATAAAAAAAAATAAGTTACTAAAATTATATTTAAAGTGACTTTTTAAAAGTATTTTCAATAATTATTTCTCATAAATACTTAAAAAAAAAATAGTGTTTAAAACCGCCTTACCACTACCTTTACCACCACCGCCGCTGCCACTATCACCGTCGCCGTTGCCACTACCGCCATTGTCGTCGTCGCCACCACCACTATCTCCACTGCCATCGCCGCCACTGTCATCACCTCCCCACCACCATCACCCCTACCATCGCTGTCGTCACCACCATCGTCGCCGTCATTGCCACCCCCACCACCACTGTCACCACCACTGCCACCACTACTGCCACCACTACAATCGCCGTCACCACCACCACTATCATCACCGTCGCCGCCACCACCACTACTACCATCATAGTTATTACCACCCGCCACAATCATTACCATCTCCTAACATCACTACTGCTGCCCACTACAATCGATACTTAAATTTATCTATCTCTCTTTTATGTTTGTGATTTAATTTTAGATATGAATATAAATATATTTTTTATTTTTTACTTTTTATTATTGCGTCAATAAGATATGATTTAAATTCAAAGACATTCGGTCAGATTTACCCATGATTATAGGGTTACAGAATTTGTCCGAAAGTATTTGAGCTTTCTGCATTGTTTCTTAATCAAATACAGAAAAAATAGAGTTCCCCGTCCTCAGAAACAACAAGACTTCAACTATTTGGTAAACAAGTAATGGAACAGACCATGTTCATCTCAGCTAGCTACACCCCAGATACATACATACATACATACATTGGTGATTTAGTTGCAGGAATCAGGATCTCAAAATGACATCCCCACGAAGTAGCAACTCAACCAACACATAAAGAAAATATTCAATCTTATCAGGGCATAAACTAATAAAAGAAAGAAATGAACATCGGTCAACCCAAAACCCAGATCAGATCCAGGTACATAGATAATTNTTTAAATTTTACTCTAAAATTAATTTAATGGTTAATATTAACACTTTAAATTTAATAAAAAAAAATAAGTTACTAAAATTATATTTAAAGTGACTTTTTAAAAGTATTTTCAATAATTATTTCTCATAAATACTTAAAAAAAAAATAGTGTTTAAAACCGCCTTACCACTACCTTTACCACCACCGCCGCTGCCACTATCACCGTCGCCGTTGCCACTACCGCCATTGTCGTCGTCGCCACCACCACTATCTCCACTGCCATCGCCGCCACTGTCATCACCTCCCCACCACCATCACCCCTACCATCGCTGTCGTCACCACCATCGTCGCCGTCATTGCCACCCCCACCACCACTGTCACCACCACTGCCACCACTACTGCCACCACTACAATCGCCGTCACCACCACCACTATCATCACCGTCGCCGCCACCACCACTACTACCATCATAGTTATTACCACCCGCCACAATCATTACCATCTCCTAACATCACTACTGCTGCCCACTACAATCGATACTTAAATTTATCTATCTCTCTTTTATGTTTGTGATTTAATTTTAGATATGAATATAAATATATTTTTTATTTTTTACTTTTTATTATTGCGTCAATAAGATATGATTTAAATTCAAAGACATTCGGTCAGATTTACCCATGATTATAGGGTTACAGAATTTGTCCGAAAGTATTTGAGCTTTCTGCATTGTTTCTTAATCAAATACAGAAAAAATAGAGTTCCCCGTCCTCAGAAACAACAAGACTTCAACTATTTGGTAAACAAGTAATGGAACAGACCATGTTCATCTCAGCTAGCTACACCCCAGATACATACATACATACATACATTGGTGATTTAGTTGCAGGAATCAGGATCTCAAAATGACATCCCCACGAAGTAGCAACTCAACCAACACATAAAGAAAATATTCAATCTTATCAGGGCATAAACTAATAAAAGAAAGAAATGAACATCGGTCAACCCAAAACCCAGATCAGATCCAGGTACATAGATAATTACATAAATAAAGTGAAAACCCTCAATCAGACTTTAATTCCTCACTTACAATAAAGTCAAGGCGAGTTAACTCTAACTAACTAGAGGCGATGTGGTTTGATCGGAGTCGTGCCGGTACTTGTTTTGGTCGGAGTCCCGTCGGATAATTGCTCTTCTCGGCATAAATCGCTTTGCATCCAAATCGAGTGAGAGAAAGACAGAGATCGCACTCCTAAATTAGTGGCCGGTTCCAAATAATCCTGGGGTCTTCATTGTCGATCCAACGATCAATAAAATTCCAAATCCTATGACTTCAATGCGAATCTAAAAACATACATAAAAACATACATAACTACTAACCTGCTATTGCTTGGGTTTGCAGACACAGGAAGAAGACCACCTCCTCTGGCCCGATCATTTTCATTATCCATCAGAGATCAGAGATTACAACCGTTCCTCGTTTCTCCACTGCCTTTCTATCTCGTGTATATAGATTTAATTATGTTCGTGTATATATAGGGCCAAAAAAAAAAATACCCTAAAAAAATTTTAAATTTTTTATTGTATACTCCTTGTGTATATATGTTTTAGGGAAAACGGATGTTCTAGAATGATCCGGGCTCACCAGTAGACACATGTTCTAGAATGACCGACCTGGGCTCACCAGTTGACACATACACGTGTGTAAGCACAATGTTTTAGCATGCAAATGGAAAAGGCCGGTCCAATCCAACAGAATTGGGGGACTGCAAAATTTCAAATGAAGCCCTTTATAAAAATTTAGTGTATAAATTTGAAAATTATAAAATATTAAAATAAATTATTTAAAATTTATTTTCCGTGTATTTTTAGATGTAAAGTCTTCATCAAGTTTTTATATAAGTTTTGTTAGTATTCTTTTTTCATTAAGGTTTAGCTAATCCATTTAATTTCTAATAGTTTACCCTCAAAAAGTTTTAACTAAAAGTAAAAAGGGTTTTTTAGTAACTAAAAGTAAAAGATAAAATTGACATATAAGGAGATTAGGATTTAATTGACATAAAATATTAAAAATAGAACTTCATTGATAGATTGCCAAACAATTTTTTTTTAAAAAAATTTGGTATATAATAAGTGATTGGAGTTGGATATCTTTGTTAAACAATTTTTTTTTTTTTTTGGTATATAACAAATGATAGAGAACAGTAACAAAAAGATTAAATTTATTGAGCTGAGTGACGAACTGAGGCTTATTGCCGGCTATCCTCACATCATTATTGCTAAAGCTCAAAAACTACTCTCATTTATACCTATGTTATGCTGAAGATTGCCTTGGTAAATAGTTTTGGAATGTTTGAAAGTAACTAAAAATGGCTTACAGGAGAATTTTTTTAACTTGGCTTCCACAAATATAAATTTGTTGGGAAATTACTTCGAATAGATATAAAATAAGACAGAATCAAAATTTTGAGGCACATAAAATTATTTTCTTTAATGTGATATTTGCCCTTACTCAAAGAGTTTGTTAGAGGGTTCTTGACAAATTACTTCCGGGATACAAAAAAGTCTTTGAGCGAAGAATTGTAATTAGCAATTGATGAGTGCGCAAAAGTGCATTCTAAATACCCTATTATTAGATTAATATGTTAAAATGTGAATAGAAATAATTAGATATAATTTATATTATTGAATTTAATATTTATTCATATTGAGATATATTTGAGCACGATATTATAATATTTTAAATATTGTATTATTGGTTGGTGAGAAATAATTTACAATTGAGTTTTATATTTAATATTTTTGGAACTTTATTATTGGATTTTTATATTTATTTTTTTGTATTTTGATGGTAGCCCATGGAACAAAAAGATTGAAATTGATATAGCTTTCACATGGGCCCAACACTCATAATTTTTATTGAGTTTTATCTTCCTCAAATTATACAAGATTTGAGTTTTAGGGGCTGAAGTAAAAAAGTTTGAATCAAGAGAGGCTGACAAAGAGGGGGAGAAAAAGGTATTTCATCAAAAGGAGATTGACTTTTAACCTTTTTATTTTTGCATTGGTGTGTCACGGCGGGGCCTTTTTCTTTGCCTTTGGCGTGTGGCGGCTGGAAGAGAAAAAGGAAAGAAGAGATCACCGACCAGAAAATTTCTGATGGCCAGTTTGCTTTATTTAATTTTTTTTTTGGAAATTTTTGGTGTTCATTATATTTATGGATATCTAAATTTTTAAGGTAAGACGAGGGATGAACTTGTATAGTAGATGATATTTTATTTGTTTTTAATTTATGCATTTGATTTCTAATTAGTAAAATTTTTTTATTTTATCATTCTCAATTTATTGTTGATATTTTCTTCTCCAAATAATTATAGAATTTATTCTATTTATAAATTCAGTTATATTTTTTCAATTGAATGGATTAGTTCTTTGATTATGTTTGGATTAATTATTTATCTATATTAACTTCATTTTTTGTTGCAATATCGCTTTTTGAGTGTATTGTTGTCGTTAGATTTTGTCAATAGTAATAATAATTTACGTGAATGATTTTTCAAAAGGTTACATGTGGTTTAATCTTGGTTTATAAATATATACCTTCCGATTTAAAATTTTGAGAATTGAATTCTCAATTGAGTTATTCAATGAATTAAGAATAAATAAAATACCAGATTTTTGCAAGAAATTCCTGACACTTTATTGTTTGTTAAATTTGAGCACTTTTTTCGTTAGTTACTTTGCTTCACTTTAATTTGCATTTAAAATTAATCTTTATTTTCCAGTAATCATTTAATTATTTTTTTTAGTTCCTTTATTATTTCTACTACTCTTTTAGTTTGTCTCTCCGTGGAATCGACACCCTAAAGTTGTATTACAATTACTGTATTATTCTTTAGGCGTAATCAGCAATATTTAAGAATTTTCAAATAAATCTTCTTGAACAGTTTTAAGCATCGGGAGAGAACAAATTTATCTTAAGAAAACTGTGACTACATAGGATTTAAATTATTTCAAATTTTTTGAATTTTTATTATCTTATCCTCTATTTTGTTAAATATTCTATTTTATTAATTAGTTTGCATATAAATGTCATCACCCCTAGAAATCCCATCTTGACTTGATCATATGAACATAGAAATAGAAGATAGGATGTACAATTCTACTAATTGTCAAGTAGATTATTGTATTATTTCTCTGTTTATGTACCGAACTATTGCTAGATCTTGTACAATACCGCTTTTCCATATAAAGGAGTAAATTAATGGATAGTGGCCCGAAGAGGTTACATTTCGTGGTATATTCGAACTCAGGTGGCTGAACTATAATTAAGTGAACCCCTTGGGGTTAATAATGTATTTTCAACAAAGTGAATTTAAGAAAATCAATTCAAAATTAACAAATGAGAAAAGCAATAATATCCTGTATTCAAAGAACATCCGTCTCAAATAAATTCAAATAGCCAAAGGTCTTTAATTCACAACGCTAAATAAAGTTGAAAAACTGAAAGTACACAATCATATGTACACATTTGAGCCTGACAATCCCTACCAACAACTGTACTGTGGCATCTCTTTTCCATCAGAAGTCTTTGCCTGGGAAGTCCCACTATGAACTCATCAGCCTCCTACTACATACCAACTCACAATCGTTACAAATCTAAGAAAAAGAGCTTATCTCTAGATAAATATCCATGTCTGAGGGAGAGAGAGAGGGTTCTGTACCTGCTTCTCAGTTATGTCATATAAAGAGTATAATCTATAAATAGTTGCTCAATTACACTTACTAAAGGGGAAGAGATTGATGAGAGGTTAACAATAAGACAGTCAACCGAGTTGAAATAGTATCATTGTTTTTTAATCATCCAAATTCTTGGAATGAAAAAGATCTGAAAATACGTAGAAAATTGAAGAAAAAATTTGTGAACAAATGACAAAATTTTCACTATTTATGTACATTACAAGTGAATATTAGTGTAACATGAGACATGAATTTATAAAACATTGTTGTGTGTTCAATATTAATTATCCAGATTGTTTAGGGATACAAATGTTTATTCCTTGTTGAATAATTGCGTGTGATTAAACTGTGTATATCTTCACTGTTGAACGTGTTCCTCTCATAGTGCAACTGTGTAACAAACAAAGTGTAGAATTATAACAATTACTCAATAAGTCAACATTAGTGCACCATAAGACAGGGATGTATATATTCTGCTTGTATGACATTGTTGTATGGTGAATGTTAATTATCCAGATTGTTCAGGGATGTAGGTGTTTATTCCTTGTTGAGTAATTGCGTGTAATTAAATTGTGTGTATATCCTCACTGTTAAATGTCTCTCTCTCAAAATGTAACAAAGAAAGTGTAACACAAAAATTGCTCAACAAGTCAATATTAGTGCACCATAAGACATGGATGTATATATTCTATTTATAAAACATTGTTATGTGGTGACTGTTAATTATCCAGATTTTTCAGGGCTACAAATATTTATTCCTTGTTGAGTAATTACGTGTGATTAAACTGTGTATATCCTCACTGTTGAATGTGTCCCTCTCATAGTGTAACAAACAAAGTATAACACTATAACAATTACTCAACAAGTCAACATTAGTACACCATAAGACGTGGATGTATATATTTTGTTTATAAACCATTGTTGTGTGGTGAATGTTAACTATACAGATTGTTCAGGGATATAGGTGCTTATTTGTTGTTGAGTAATTGTGCATGATTACTCTGTGTGTATATCTTCACTGTTGACTGTGTTCCTCTAATAGTGTAACAAATAAAGTATAACAACAATGTTCCAACGGTGTTCATGATACACTGTTCCAACAGTGAGTAAATTCACTAGATAGGACTAGTGTGGGTTGTATACATAATAATCTATCAAATGTTAGACGGAAAAAAAAAAAACATATAACCTACAATGTGAAAACATAGCTAAAACAAACAAACCCAAAAAAAAGATTGAAAAAACACATTGTAATAAACTTAAAACAGTGAGCAATGTCATTAAATGATAGCATTAATAAGTTTACAAAGATTCGTCACAAGATTTCTTGTTGTGACTGCCCAAACGCTCATACTGACCACCACGAATTCGCCTAATGAGTTCTCTCCTAGACCAAATTCTAAGATTCTTTGGTCTATTAGGTTGCTTCTTGGTAAATGGTGGCAAACTATTAACATCTACATGAGAAATTTCATCACGATATATAGTCGCGATTGGATAAATGGGTTCAAAATATGACATCTTATATGTGCTCACATAATAGTAATAATCAACAAATTCGTTGATATTTCGCCAACTCTTTCGTATTGCTGACACTGCATGTGAACAAGGGAACCCATTTATTTACCACTAACAACATGAACATGTGTCATTCACAATATCAATAGTCATCGAAGGATATGACATCACTTCATACACTTGGTTATTCGAAGCCCGCACAGTCCAGGACCTCCCTTCATCAAATGCAACTTGTAATCTGGATGACATATTGGG